GATGTTTAAAAATTCTTGTGGCACACTGGTTGAAAATCGCTGGGGTATACCAATGATTCAGAAGTCAACTATAGAGTTTGAGCTGTTTCTAGTACAGGTAATGATTTTCACTGACTCACTTGTGTAAAGGGGCTTTTCGAATAAGGCACACCAATTCAACATGGTGCATGTGTTCTGCTCCTGTATCCAGGCTGCGGGAATAGCTTGGGGCAACAGACAAGAATGGCATCAGCTGACTCAAGTTAGGAATTAAGACCAGAGCCTTGGTCTTCTCCATACCGGTGCCTGCACCTGAGCTGCCTTTCCAGATGAAGAAGAATGGCTTTTACGGGCCTTCATGTTAGAACATGGCTTTTCTCAGCTTTCCCTTGGGTGTGCACCTCCTCTGAGGCCCTGTGGTCTGGGTACAGCCAACACCCTGTGGTCTGAGGCCAACAGGGATGAGGCAGCAGGCGTTTCAGCCCTTTCCTGCCCAGAGTCTCCATGGCCTCCCTAGACCACCAGGGAAGGCCCACTCCCTTGGGTTTTCATAAGCAGGCACATACTACAAAAGTCCAGAACTGGAAGGTGTGCGAGTTACTTTGCCTAAGGCCGTGGTCGGCAAACTGCGGCTCGCGAGCCACATGCGGCTCTTTGGCCCCTTGAGTATGGCTCTTCCTAAGCCTTAGGAGTACCCTAATTAAGTTAATACAATGTACTTACTTATATAGTTTAAGTTTAAAAAGTTTGCCTCTCAAAAGAAATTTCAATCGTTGTACTGTTGATATTTGGCTCTGTTGACTCATGAGTTTGCCGACCACTGGTCTAAGGGATCAACCACCACGTGTGAACAGGGGAAGGAAAGCCACATTCAATTATTTCCTGAGGCTACTGACCACATCTGCACCTGGTTTCCTCAGTTTGGAGTTTCTGAGGCCTCTTCCACCATAAGAGTCCCTGTGTGATGATGGCTTCTTGCCCCAAGTCCAAAATTTCTTTAACATCCCCATGGTTTATTTATTAAATGCATGTGAATGTTGCATTCTGACCCATATATCTCCATTTGTTTTTGCATAATTCCCCCTCTCCCCAAAGTCTTTTAGTAAAATTGTCCTTCCAGGAAAAGGCACCATAGGCTTGCACCAGCTTCAGAGGCCTTACTGGAGCAACTTGGCCTTAATCCATCTGACCCCAAATCTCGCTCTGCCAGGGGTTCCGGTAGACTACATCAAGTGCTGCCTGGTGCTCTCATGTAGGCACCAGGCTAAGGCAGCAGGTCAGCTGAGCAGCCAGGACATGGGCCCCCATCTCATCTCTCAGTGTAAGAAGGCAGGTCTCAGAATTAGGGCAGGCGCTAAAGGCCACGGAGAGCTTGCACACACCACTGCAGAGACTCGCACCAGCTCCCTCAGAACTGACAGTGTCAGCAGTCATTTTCCTCAATCACTCTCCTTACAGCCAAAGCCGCCCAGGTCACCCTGGCCCAGAACTTCACAACCCTTCGGGCTGGAGGTCACAAACTAGAGATTTGTGGGACTTGTTTGCTTGACTCCTAGGGTATTTATTGCCCCCCACCCCTTGAACTAGTTGCCAATATGTAAAAATTCAACTATTAGAGGATTAAAAACAAAAAAGTCAAATCTTTAGAATCTTTGGTGGGGGGAAAATCTTAAGACTTGGCAACCCTGGCCCTGCCCTCCACACCCGGCAAATTGCAGCTGCTCCTCCCAAAAGCATATGCCCTGCACTTTGCCATAATTCTACCACAGCACCAGTCCCAACCCTTCACCCTTTTTCATGCCCATGAGGCCCCTGTAGGCCTCAGAGTGGGTCACTCCTACTCCAGTCCAACAGCTACCAGTACAAGAGGGAAACATACAGCCCAAAGAGTTTAAATGACATACCCTTCTTCAAAGAACCAGTTGATGTAAACTATATGGCAACTTGCTTTAAATTTCACTAAGACTGACTCTGTTTCAGAGAAATGTCATCACATTTCTACCCCAGCTTTTCTCAAGGGAGGGGAGGGAACTAGGAAAAGAGAGAGAATATTGTCCTTGCTTAGCCTGAAAAAGAACATTAAAAATATCTGATATCTCATTAAAAAAATATCCAATATCTTCCTAATCAAACTCCAGGAAGTTCATGGTCTCCTGGCTGATACAGATCGGAGAAGACTTTGAAGGGGTATGAACCTGGCTCCTCACGGTGCCTGCCCTTACCAACGCAGCTAAGGACTGGGACCCTTGCATTTCTGCATTTTGGGGGGCATTTTTCCAAATGCCCTCCCCTCAAACATATTCCAACTGCTCTACCTTTATTTGGGGGCTGTGATGGGTAATACGGGAACCTGAAAACAGAAAAGCGGACAGGCATGACAGCGGGGCCCAATTTATAACTAAAACTACCCCTTGCTGGCAGGGACACCTAATCAGCAACCCAGGTAACTCCACGGGGCTAAAGCTGGGCTTGGCTAAACGCCCTTTGTTTTTGGGAAACCGTTGGTACCGGTTGAGTCAGATTAATAAATACCTTCAGGGTTTCCTCTGACAACATTCTCCATGGAGGGGCACTTTGAACCTTTAGGTCACTGTGAGAATCATTAACAATACACTCCACCCCTGCCAGCTCTACAACTGCCGACTTGACAATGAGCTTGAGCCATTGGGCCTGAGAAAGGCTGTTTGCTGTTATTAACAGACCAAGACAGACAAAACCGCCCTAGTTCCCACCCTAGAAACTCCAAGTCTCCTGGTCAGAGAGGGCCTCCCTGACCACCCTTCGTCGACCTCTATCACATTTCCCTTTCATCAACATCCTAGAAATATCACCTCCCGACATGAATAGATGTTTACTTGGGTAAACGCCACAAGAAACCAAGTGTCATGAAAGCAGTCTCATTTGAGTTGCTTGCAGCTTTATCCTGGCACTTCAAACACTACTGCCACTGAGTAGGTGCTCAACAAATCCATTTGTGGGTGAATGAACAGGCAAATAAATCAACTGTAGCCTGCTTCTGAGAAAGCCATGAGTCAGGGCAGCCCACCAGTCCCCTTGGCTACAGAACTGGCTCGTCAAAGTGTCAACCAAAACCTGCAGCCTCAACATACCGAGGGCGGTGCCTTGCGGCCTTCCCAGCACAGCAAGCCCAGCACACAGCAGGCACTCCTGAAAACAGGGGTCTCTCCCGAGCTGCAGTGGCCACATGTGGTCTCCAGTGCTGTGGACCTGACAACTCCCAGACTTCTCTGGGGACGGGACACTGTCAGACATTTTAAGAGGTGAAATGTTACCATTTTTTCCCTGTCTCCTCCAGTAATAATCTCCCTTTCACCCTGTTACAGAAGTAGCTAGAGAAGAGGTTCCCAGACACGTGGCCATCTCGGGATTTGTGTTCTGGGGCTAGTACTTGAGTAACAAAACCAAGACAAGCACAGCATTGTCGTTCCTGAATCCTGGTAGGTTCAGGGATTGCACATAATATTCTCCTGGGCCTTTGCAGTAATCCATAATAAAACATGAATGAAAGTAATCCACGTACTTCATAAGAGAACACTCAAACACTGACAGGAGTAAAATGAAAAGGAGAGTCATCTACATCCCCAACACTGGCCTTGCTCCCAGAGCCAACTCTAGTAACAGCTTCTTTTCCATCCTTTCGGAAATAGTCTGTGCATACACAAAAGCATTTGTACAAATCCTTTAAAATAAACACAAGACATGCTGTCATGCACCCCTTCCCCCATTTAATACTCAGAGATCTTTCTTAAGGAGCAAATACAGACTGATTCAGAAATGAATTTTGCCCAAATTCATGGTCAGAAAGCCTCCCCCTGTTTATTAGTGCTCAGGTGAGTGGCCCCCACCTGGAGGAGTTGATCCTGCCAATCATGCATATCTGTGACTACCAGAGTGGTTCCTTTATAAAAACCCAGTTTGGTGGATTTACTTTTCCCAAAACCTCTGAGCTGTCTGGGCTCCCTAAAGCTAACCCATTGAAAACACTCATAAGTCATATCCTGCCAGGTTTCCGGGTTCTCTGCCAGCTTTCCAGGTTCTAGGTTCCAGGTTCCTACAAGCACTCCACATCTCCTTCTGAGGCTCCAGGAGGCATCTGTCTCACTTCCCAGGCCAGCAGGCATGGTGCCTGCCTCAAGTGCAGAAGGCAGCATGCAGCTGACAAGTTACCCCTAGAACTCGGAAGCAAGTTCAGAAGAGGAAGCTGGCACAGGTTCTTGCATTGTACTGAAGGGGGTGGGGAGGGCTTGGAGCTGCCTGTGACACAGGTAAGGCTTCACTGAGTTCTATGCTTGATATGTTTGATAAGTAACTATTTTACCAACAGAGCATAGTAATGAGTGCCCCGGAGTATTGGGCTGTACTGGGCCCCTCTCATTGGAGCAGTGGTTCTCAACCTTCTGGCCCTTTAAATACAGTTCCTCATGTTGGGACCCAACCATAAAATTATCTTCGTTGCTACTTCATAACTGTAATGTTGCTACTGTTGTGAATCATAATGTAAATATCTGATATGCAGGATGGTCTTAGGCGACCCCTGAGAAAGGGTCCTTCGTCCACCAAAGGGATCACGACCCACAGGTTGAGAACCGCTGCATTAGAAGGATGGACACTGGAAATAGAAATACCTCCATTCCCTCCTTTTTACCTTCCTTTCCTTTATACATTCAACACACAATTATCAAGCAGTGATTCGAGACCAGGCACAGTGCAAGGCGTAGAGAAAGTAGACAAGTCCCACAGAAAGCAGGGAAAAGAAACATGAATACAACACCTGGACCATCCTCCAGTGTCCCTCTATCCCCAAACGCATGGCAGGCTAGGTAAAACCAAGCTCTAGCCGAGAAAGGGCCTGCTCCAGGTGCCAGAAATGAGAAGGAAACCCAAAGCTAAAACCGAGAATTGGAGAGAAAGCTGGACAGGCCTAGGAGTTTAGGAATCGATGGCAGGCCTCAGGGGAGGCTGGGCTCCCAGCTGAGGCTGTGGAGCCAGCAGACACCTACTTCAGAAGGTTTTCTGCTCCCGTTCTCATCCGCACAGCTTTCAGGATCTGTTGGTTCAAGGCAGCCCTCTGATTCTGCAGTTTGCTTCGGCCAGTTTGTGCAAGGGGGTTGCAACCCTAAGGGAAAAGGGGAGATGCCCCAATCAGAGGTCAGCCACTCTAAAATTGATGACAACATTTAATAGAACAGAAAAGGATTTTGAAACTAAACTTTTTGAAAAACAAAAGTAACAAAATGGAAAATATGTAAAATATTGTAAAGTATAAAGAAAATAAAAGTCACTTATCATAATATACTCCAAACAGCCACTGTAAATTGGTCTCTTTTCTCCCCATGCATTTTATATACATGTTATTTTCCACATTAGTGGCTGTGTCAGGAGTCCCCAAGATCAGCCCCCAGGTTTGGAGATTCGCTAGGACTCAAGGACCCAGCATGCAGTTGCATTCATGGTTAAGATGTACGACCGCAGCTTAGTGAGGATGCACAGATGGACCATAGAGGAAAAGACAGAGGAATCATTGGCAGGCTTCTTTGTGCTCTCTCTCCCGTGAGTGCAGAGCACACTCTTCTCCCAGCAACTTGTATGTGATGTCTCTGTCCAGGTTGGCTCATTTGAGAATCAACACCCAGGGGTTTTTTGTTTTTTTTTAATATATTTTATTGATTTTTTACAGAGAGGAAGGGAGAGAGATAGAGAGTCAGAAACATCGATGAGAGAGAAACATCGACCAGCTGCCTCCTGCACATCTCCCACTGGAGATGTGCCCGCAACCCAGGTACGTGCCCTTGACCAGAATCGAACCTGGGACCTTTCAGTCCGCAGGCTGACGCTCTATCCACTGAGCCAAACCGGTTTTGGCAACACCCAGGGGTTTTATTGGGGGCTGGTCACAAAGGCACCTCTGCCTAGCACATACCAAAGTTCCAGGCTCCCAGGAGGAAAGCAGGTGTTTAGACACATGGCTTTTATCATCAGTGTAGGCACAGTAAGCCAACCTTATCAGTTTGGGGAAGGAGGCAACCTCTAAGAGCCAGGTTTCCAGTCGCCAGGAGGGGGCCAATCTTGCAAGCAGGCCTTCCTAAGGATAGCAGCCTCAGGCCTGCTATGTTTACCCTTTTCTGCACAGGGCACATAAAGGTTACCATGTTTTCTCACTTCATACTCTATCATGAAAATTTCCTTTATTATGAAATGTTCCTCAAAACAATTATTTTAATGATTGTATAATACTGTCCCCCTTTTAAAAATTTTTTTTATTGTTTTCAGAGAAAGAGGAAGGGGGTGGGGATACACTCAAATCCCAGGCTGACCCGTTTTCAGGATTTACCATGTCCTTATAGTTGAACAGTTTCTGAGCATCTGCTACAAGTATTTGATGCATATTGGTGAACAGATAGCTTTATAAACTTCAAGTTTTTTTTTTTACGTCTGCTTCTCGGGCAGTGTGATGGGGTCTAACCTCTTTAAAGGTCCCACACACTAGAACCCAATTATCTTCTAGGAAAGAAGAGCACTCCCTATTCTTTGTCCCCTCTCCCTAGTCGTAGGCAACCACTAATCTACTTTCTGCCTGTGTATTTTTGCTTATTCTGGACATTTCTTATCAATGCAATCATATAAAATGTGGTCTTTATAATGGGCTCCTGTCAGTGTACTGTTTCCTAGGTTCATCCATGTACCTAGCAGTGCCAGTCCTTCATTCCTTTTTGTCTCTAACACTGCACTGCATGGATGCACCACATTTAGTTATCCATTCATCAGTTGATGGACATTTTGGGGGGGCGCTTTCACTTTTTGGCTGTTGTGAATAGGGTTGCTTATTTGTGTGTCACTTTCCATGTGGGATGCTTTCCTTTCTCTTGGCAATATATCTAGGAGTGGGACTGCTGTGTCATGTGATTAATTCTATGTTTACCATTTGAGGAACTGTCAAACTACTTCCAAAGTGACTATACTATTTTACATTCCCACCAACAGTACAGGAGGGTTATAATTTATCCATATCCTCACCAATACTTGTTACTGTTTATCATTTTTATTATAACCAACCTACGATTGTGTGGTTATCTCACTGTGGCTTTGATTTGCATTTCCCTGATGGCTCATGATTTGAACATCTTTTAGACATTTGTATGTCTTCTTTGGAGAAATATCAATTTAGGTTTTTTGCCCATTTTTTTAAATGGGTTATTTGTCTCAACTTGTTTGTAGAATTGAAAAATATTACTTTTAATCTTTGCCAAGTTGATATGCAAAAACAGGTATCCTCTTCTTCCAATTTGCATTTATTAGTGAAGGTAAACTTTTTTTTAAATATATTTTGATTTTTTACAGAGAGGAAGAAAGAGGGATAGAGAGTCAGAAACATCGATGAGAGAGAAACATCCATCAGCTGCCTCTGCACACCTCCCACTGGGGATGTGCCCGCAACCAAGGCACATGCCCTTGGCCGGAATCGAACCTGAAACCCTTCAGTCCGCAAGCGAACGTCCTATCCACCGAGCCAAACCAGTCAGGGCTAAACTTTTTTTTTCATATATTATTGATCATTTGAATTCCTTTGTTGGTGAATTATCTTTGTTCTTTGTCCATTATTTCTTGGGATAACTGGATTAAATGTTTCATTCTGAAAAGTTTAAGATCTGAGTAAGTTTCATTTTAACCTAAGGTATTCTTCCCACCCAGCAAGTAGAAGCCCTGGATCTGAGTGAAGGCTCCATTCCTTTTCGAAGCTTATCTTGAGGCTCTGCCCACTGATAGAGCTGTGGTTACTCCTTGGGAGTAACTGGTGGGCAGCACTGGTGAGAAGACTGCCCTTTTTCTCCAGCCGTGTCATTGCCACGGCAGCTCTGCACACACCAGGCCTCCACTTGAAGGAGGGAGAGTGGTTTATCTACAGCCCCAACCTTCTCAGGGAATCCCCATATCAATGGCCTTTGGACTATTAAGTCAGAAATGAGTGACGTCATTCCTTCTACAAAGATTTCTTATTCTCACTTCCCAGCAGGTTGCCACCCACCTACCTTCTATTTCAAATTAGAGATTCAGAATCTGAGTTGCAATCATCTTAAAAGTAATAAATTATTAAATGATCCCTGATTTAAAATAAAAATCAGAAAACGAATTCTTTTTTCAGATATGATTAAAATAGCTTTAATATTAAGCTAATTTAATATTAAAGGGCTAAAATAATTGCCAGCCTCTTTCCTTTCCACTTCCTAAAATTACCAAGAAGGGATAGTTCAATCTGACTCAAAATTACATGGTTCATCAAAGCTGTGTTCCATTTGACAGAGAAGCTTTAATGACTAATTCCTTTACGTACATTCCCAGAGCTAACTAAGATAAGCAGCCATTCCAGCTCATAGATAAGAACTTTTCTTGCTCCTATACTTTACCCAACTTCTGGCTAGCCTGGAATTGCTACACCCTAACCAGCCCACAGATGTGGGGTCAAGTTTCTAGATAAGACATAGGAATGTTTAGGATTAGATTTGACTTGAGTAATCAGACCCAAATGACATTACTTCTTACTGAAAAGTAAGAATGCCAGGCCTGCTAGAAACACCAGAAATGCCCATGGGGTTATTAGAGGCAGTGAGGGTGTGCATGGCACTTGAGCCCGTGTCTTTCCTGGCACTCTAAGATGGGCTGTGAGGCAGCCTGAGCAGAATGTGTGGGAATGCTGGGACAGCTCACCTGCCCATCTCTAGACACCCTTCACATGCTCCCTGGCTGAGGGCTGTCCAGTATCACTGCACGTCCTTTGGGCACAGTGACCTGTGTCCCACTCTCCCCCCTTACGGCCCAGGATGGACATGGTAAATCCATACTCCCACACCTCCTTTCCAAGGGAAAGAACATCTGACTCATGCCTGGCCATTTGGAAAATCAAAGGCCCCTAGCCCTGAGATTGGTTCCGAGTGAGCAGCTGACCTAGGACAATCAGTACCCTTCAGGCTTCATTTTCCATATCAGCTGTGAACCTCGGAGGACGTGAGACTGGGCAGCGCTATAGCCCCCTTACCACAGCAAGGGACTGTCTCCCCAGAAATAAAGCTAACCCAGGGGAGCAGAGCTGAGAAGCTGAATCTCCATGGCAACATCTGAGCCCCAGGTCAAGCCATTCCTCTAGACTTCTCAGTTACAGGAGGCAATGCATTCACTTTTGAAATGGAGGTATAATTTACATATAATAAAATACATATATTTTGAGTACATAGTTCATTGAGTTTGGACAAATGTATAAACCTGTGTAACCACTACTCCAGTTAAAAAAAAAAATTTGAACATTTCTATCACCAAATACTTGTGCCTGTTCTAGAACTTCATATTAATGGAATCACACAGTGTATATTCTTTTGTGTCTGACTTATTTTGCCCAATATTTGAGATTCATTGATGATGTTGCACATATCAGTGGTTTGTTTCTTTTTAGTGTGAGTAGAATTCCACTGTAGGAATGTTTCACAGGTGTAACCCATTTGGATTGGATTTTTCTGGCACAGGCCTGAGAACAAGTTTACCTAGAGCAAGGGTGGGGAACCTTTTTTTCTGCCAAAGGTCATATTTATAACATCATTCACTGACCATACACAATTATCAACTTAAAAATTATATTGCTATGAAAATGCTCCTAGATTTATTGAATTTCAAGTCCCACCTGTGGTTGCCTTCGCAGGATATCCCCACCCCTGACCTAGAGTGAAAACTCTACTTGTCCTGCATGCCCTTACTGTGCAGATTGTTCAGCTGGAAACAAGCACTGAAGAGCAGGACAACCTAGGCAAACACTGGAGGCACTCAATTTGAAAGAAAGGGAAGGATACTTAGCTTACCCCTGCAGAGACTGGCACTGAAAAGGTGGAGAGGCCAGGCCACCGGGAAGGCAGACACAAAAAGAATGGATCAGTCTTTCCTCCCAGACTGGGAGCCTGCTCTGGGCAGTACTGGTGCCTGACACCTTCTATCTGAAGAACTGGGGGGCCCCTCTTACACACAGCTACAGAAAAAGCCCACACATGTAGATGCGCTTCCAGCAAACTGAGGACACAGCGTGAGCTTGGGGTCCCCAGGTCAGAAATAAGACTGAGTGAGGGATGATAGTGCAGGATCTGGCTAGAGACCCTCAGAAAGGGGGGCATGGGGAGCAGGTGCTTTCTGCTGCTTCTCTAGCGCAGATTATTTTCTCTGCCTTTCTCACTCCTTCCTAGTTACGTAACTCCTCACTCAAACACCAAACTGGAAACAGAATTGTTTGTTTATGAGTTAGCCAGAAGTTGTTAACCAGAAAGCACAGAAATAGATGCCATACCCTGCAATATACAAAAACGTTTCACTTAACTCTTCACCACGCTAGAGACTCAGGACAGGTTGGATGAACAGAATCCAGCTCTTCCACATCCGTAACAATTGAAACATGAATCTAGCACTTGGAAAGAGCCTTCCTGCCCTCCCGGATCTCCACCAGGGCTGCAGCCTAGGTTCAGCTGCCTCCCTATAGCATGCCAACCCATTCACCCACAATATGAATCAACACTCAGCCATAACCTTTAACTAGAGCAGTGGTTCTCAACCTTCTGGCCCTTTAAATACAGTTCCTCATGTTGTGACCCAACCATAAAATTATTTTCATTACTACTTCATAACTATAATGCTGCTACTGTTATGAATCGTAATGTAAATATCTGATATGCAGGATGGTCTAAGGCGACCCCTGTGAAAGGGTCGTTCGACTGCCAAAGGGGTTGCAACCCAAAGGTTGAGAACCACTGAACTAGAGGCTCCCTTCATTCAGTTCTACAAATTTTTATAAATACCTACTGTTTTTCAACATGCTGAATGAACAGCAAAGGTTTACAATCACCAAAGTTTCCATGAATCAAATGTATTTCTAGACCCAATTAATGACCTGCTTATTTCAATCAGTCCTGTAGTCACCAACAGTTAATAGTCCTTATCTAGGAGGTGACTGTAAGGGGTGGGGGCTGGGATGTATGTGTGATTTTGTACACTTATGTAATTTTATAACAATTTATGCTACTTTAATAATACAAATAATATTGAAGAAAAAGAAACTACTTCTGGAATGGGTTTCAATCACCTGCCTTTTCTCTTCTTACAATCCAATTTGAACCCTGGGACTTCCTGAAGGCATATGGCATTAGTGAATTTGTGGGTCTGACCAGAAAGGCCAGAAAGACCTGTATCTCTCCCCATCTCTGGAGCTGCAGGCGAGAGGCCTCACTTGCGCTGGCACCCCTTGCTGTCCACTGTGGCACACACTCAGTCCTCTGGCTGGGCTACACCTGCAGTTTCACTGTCCTCTGTGGCCACCTCCAATTAGCCTTTGTGTCATGAGACTCTGGTACCTGAGCCAAA